GTTAACAAAAGTTGAATACAAGTCACGTATGACTTCTGCAATTACAAGAGGTGCTCAAAGTGGTTACCATCAGTGGAATTTTAATACAGTTTTTTCCTTTGTTAAAATGTGTATACATTTTTTTGGCATCCTCTGTATGTAAAGTATTAGCACAATATCTAAATAACTGTTCAACATAAGCTTTTATTATTACCAACGAGTATATGGTTAAAGGAGAAAAGGTTTGAGTTTGAGGTGGGAAATCACAATTTCCTGTTGAGACTCATTATATCTGAGTTGTTTTGTAAGTTATCTTTCAATAAAGAGTGTCTAAATTACCTTAGCAAATACTGCTAGGGCAGCGGTTCTCAACCTTCCTAATGCCGCTACCCCTTAATACAGTTCTTCATGTTGTGGTGACCCCCAACCATAAAATTATTTTCATTGCTACTCTATAACTGTAGTTTTGCTAGTTATGAATTGTAATGTAAATATCTTTTTGTTTTCCAATGGTCTTAGGCGATCCCTGTGAAAGGGTTGTTCAATCCCCAAAGGGGTCGCGACCCACCGGTTGAGAACCACTGTGCTAGGGGATGAAAGAGGATGGAAGTAAGAAAAGATCACTGGAAGGTCAAAGGCAACTTTTGGGAGGTGGCAGAATCAAGGGAAGATTTCTTAAGGTGGGGAGAGTGGATCATGATTTCAGGCAGAGAATAAGGAGCCGTTTCAGAGGGAGATGGAATAACTGCCTACATGTACTTTCCTGTTTGTTTTTGTTTTGCAGGTTGCTGTGCATTGCCTGGCTTGGTTCTGGGTAAGGAAGCGAGTCATCCCCAAAAGGTTGCAGAAGAGCAGAACTCTGGAAAAAAACGACTGCAATTAACAGAACAACATTAACTTACAGAACATTAACTTACTTCGTGTGTGATTATCATATGATTAGTAAGCAGATTACTCTAGTAAAAAGTTGTTAAGAAGCCTTATTAAGCTTTTGATACAACAGGGAAAAGTTATTAACTTGACAAAGATTCATGAGCACATATGTTTCCAGCTTTGAGCTACTATGTGGAATGAAGACTGAAATTGTGAATTCCATAGTATTCACTGCCTTGGCAGATTTTTGTGTGAGATTATGCATCACTACACCCCTACCACAAGTTTGCACAGGCTTAGGAATTCTCTTATTAAGGTTGTTATGCAATCTTTATTTTAACAAGGACACACAAATGCATGGAAAGAATATTCCCAGGCATATTAATCTCGACTTAATTATGTGTCCCTCTTCAACTGGGTTAGTGTCAAATTAGTTTTTCTTTTCTGTATTGTTAAGAAGGAAAGCATTACTTTAAGCTTAGTGTAATTGGAGCCATTTTTCATAAACTAGTATTAGATCTATCACAAATAAATCATAAGCCAGATTCAATTATGAAGACATTAACACACTTCCCATAAATAGAAAATTAAAAACAAGTTCTGTGTAAAGAGATTTAACATGTGCTTCTACCTTCCTGGAACCCACTAACACAACCAGTGAAAAGGTATTTTAAGACTTAAACTCAGTGAATGGGGAGAGTTGGAGAAGAGGTCATTTTGGAATTTGAAAAGCAGATGAATACACAGTGATAAAATAAGCAGAGCTTACAAAATTGAATCCAATCAAGCAGTAGAGAAAACTAGGAACTAATCTGATTGACAAAATATCCAAAGATTTAGAAACTAATGGCAGCAGGTACTTGTGGAGGTGAGGATAAAAGGGGTCTGGACTTGATAAGGATTGTTAAGAAATCTGTTTTAGGAGAAAGTGGGTCCAATACTGCTCCCTAGATCCATACAGCATCGCAGATACTGCCTCTCCTTTACTGACAAAGAGTGATGGTTTATTTTCAGAATGAAGTAAAATTGTCTGTATGAAGAATACCAGAACAGCTGAGGGTAAGGGAACTGTACTAACAATAGGAGATTAAATGAATGTATGCATATTTAGCTTCAGAGATGTAACATGCCACATTGATTTTTCTCTGTTCTGAGTCCAGGACACTGAAAGCTAGATTGTCATCTCCCCATCCCCACCCCCCAGCAAAACACTGGAAGAGTCTTTTCTGGGAAATATGGCTAGTTCATGATTACAGACATGACACTGGGAAAGATACTGACATCAGAAGTTTCCCCATTAAACAGCCCACTCAGATGCTCCTACAGTGAAGCTCACATCAGACCAGCCTCTCACATCCTCAGAGTTTCCAGCTGGTGTTTTAGTGTCTCACTTTTAAATACTGTCAGATACAAAGACAGATATCTGAGAAAAGCCTTAAACCTGGAAGATAGAAAATAAAGAGAAAAAAAGTAATGCTGAAAAAAAAAAGGTAAAATAAATGTCGAAAACCTCACAAAAAGAAACTACTAAAACCATGAAACAAGAACAGAATTCTACCCCAAGATAAATGGACAAACAAATAAATAAATAGAACATTACCAAATATAAAGGAGGTGTTGGAAATTAAATACAATAGCAGAAATGACAATTTTCAATAGAAAGGTTGGAACACAAAGTTGAGGAATTTTACCAGCCAAAAGAAAAGGAGATGGAAAATAGGAGATTAAAAAAATGAAGACAATTAGCCTATTTATTGATCAAGGAGGGTTAGCATTGAA